TAATCAACAGTTTGGGATTGAGACGATACTCGGGAATCCATATTCGCGGAAGGTAGAATCACTGATTACAGACATTCCCTGCCGTAATGGCGACCCACTTCACAAAAAAAATGATAAAAAAAGGGTATCACAGTTTTCACAGATCAAATTTATCACAAATAATGCACTTATTCGTCAATTCGGTAAAAGTGCAACACACGTGACTTTATTATTCAAATATTTATAAATTGTACTATATTCACTATTTAGATAAATTAATGGGTTTCTCGATGATTAATCTTTTCAGTATAATTTGTAGAATCCAAAGGCGGATAGTAGAACTCATCTAAGTCAACTTGTAGAAGCTCAAACCTCTCAGTCGTCTGACAACATCACACCCACCTTCCAGAAACTTCCCAATCATGCACGGAAACCTATTTCTTTGGACACTGCGATCCTAATACCAAATTTTTTCAATAGAATCAAACAACTGAGATCACCACATTTCGCGCTACCCGAGACCGGGACGTGGACGCAGTGGTGCATCGGCCTCAACAAAGAATCTCATACACTCCACATCACAACACGACACTCGGGATAATTTTCGAAGATCATTTATTTAACAGAGTGTGGCTTCTTCTCGAGTACACAAAAAAACACTCCGTCTGCTCCCTCAGACACCCAACTCTGCTACACCTTCTAGTAGCAATGTATTAAATCTACCCGAAATCGATTTGCGCCTCTTCGAATTTCTGTCCACTCCAAGGTAATCACACAGGTACCCGCTACTCTTCTCGAATACACACTAGGATGGCTGATAGTAAATAAGAACGAAAAATTAAACTTTTTTAGAGTTGAAACAAATAGTCCAGGGAGCTGTGAGACTGTGTGAATTTTTTCTGATTTTTTAATTCAATTTTGCAGTAGCGCATGGCATTTCAAGTTTGACTAAAATATCTGACCTACTGGCAGTCAATGGTTATAAAACTTGGGTAAAAGTTAAATATCCTTGATTACGGTGCGGTGCTAGGTTATAAAAATGACAGAGGATGGTTCTTCGGATCTGTTCAGGTAGAGAATGCAGCGACTAGTATAGGTCCGTCACTGTTGCTCCCATAGCGAGGAGGTTGGAAATACATGCGTTTTCTGGGGAGCAATAGAAACCCAACTATACGACTGCCCCGTGCGAGACAGAGGCGCTCGCAGTTGTCCCTGTCACAGAACGATGTGCTCCATGAATATTAATCATAATAAAACGATATCTATGAGTCGTGGAAAGATTAGAATTAGAATTAGAATCGGGAACATTATTCTTCATCAGAACATTTAATGCTGCAAGTCTTGTCAACTTTTCAGTAGTTCTCAATATATTTTGGCCGGTATAAAAATGATTATTTATCGTTCATTTGTTTCCCGAAGCCTAAAAATAAAAAATCGGTCCCGTGTACCTAATTTTTAAACTATGGATTTTTTTTTCAATGTATAGAATAACAATTTGTAATGATTTTTCTTTGGCCTCAACAAATACTCAATAAACCCTAACCCAGAAGTCTTGATTATCCAAACACGGCCAACTCATTACCTTCGTTCTCGTAATCCGACAAGTCTGAAACGCCAAAAACCATAACGCTAACACTGGACTTCGGGGACAATCAGCAGCTCATCCAATCCTTATTTCGTGTATTTAGGGCGCCAGCCGATTTTTAGCAACGCGGAATCGACAAACCGCAAACGGAACCGTATTTTCTTAAAACTAAATACTGATCGTCCCCAAAAATCCAATAACGACAAGAAACATATCGCAAACCATACGCAGAAATGTGGATTACGAGGGTACGGGATTTACTCGGCTGCTCAGTGTGCGGGTCGTGGAGAGAGGGGTGGATTCGTGGACGAGAACATCAATTAACAAAACCAATCATCGATCGAGAAACCAATAAACCAATGTCTTAAATTCCAAACGGGATAGGTAAGGTCGACATTGAATAATAAACACAATTGTACTGACGTGTTTCGCTATTGCCGATATTAATACAAAATTGTAAATTCGTACAAACACAAAATTACGTGAATGTGACTCAAAATAATTTTAAATACTCTGAAATGATCCATTAAACTCCAAAAGGACTCGAAAGATGCGAATAATAATTTTAAGTATGAAAAAGAAAGCGATCCCAATCCAAAGCTGATAGAGAGAAGCAAAGGTATTGTCCACGAGGGGAACACGAATCCGAGAGAGAGAGACTATAGGAAGGTAGCGTACGTGCGAGAGAGAACGGATGAGGTAGCTACGCGAAATAAAAAAAAAAGGAGAGCTCACGAAAAGGTACTAATTTTTCTTATTTTCGACTGTAATTAATCGAATTACGAATTATGGAGCGCCTTTGTAATGGTTTACTTAATTCTTATGCCATTTGTAACCCATTAAAATCGGGAATCTCATTCACCGAAAAGGTAGCAAAAATGAGCTAGGGAGCTTGAATCAGCCACGTGGCTGATTTACCGGAAAGGAGCGTTTCTAACCCGGAAATGGAGGTTTTCTCCATGAAAATAGGTAGCTTACGGTCTCCAATAATTTCCAAAATAATAGGTAGCTTATTCATGAACGTAAGAGAGCTTAGATAATTTTATTGTTCTGGATTCCAACCATAAAGTAAAGATAACTAAAAAGATAGCGTCCCCATGCCCAACCGGAATCCAAAACTCAACGAACGTTAGAGAGCATTAAAACGCGAAAAAGGTAGCTTCAGAACAATTCAGGTAGCATCATTTTTCCTCCAGAACTCTCGTGAGTCGGAGAAATATAAAGAAATAGGTAGCGTAGAATAATTACGTAAAGAGAGCGAAAAAAGGTAGCAAGCAAAAAGGTAGCAATGAAGTAGGTAGCGAGTTGCATCAATCGCCGTAGCGAGACGCCTAAAGCATGAAATTTAACCTAAAAGTTACGGTAGGTAGCACTATTACTATTCGGATTTATTCAGGTAGCGTAATTATCATTTAAATAATCTCAGGTAGCTTCCAGGGAGCATTTAGGTTTGTTTGAAGAGTTTTCTGTCCTTCAAACCATGAGTATCGGTGTTGGCGTCATTCCGAGAGGTAGCGACGCCATTCCGCGTGGTCCAACTGCTTTATCGAAAAACGCACTAATTCACTGTTAATCACCTCTAAATAAGTACACGAGTACTTACCATGGTCTGGAGCGTTGATTTTGACTGAATTTGGATCACGGGGCCTCGATAATTACCTCGAAAGAGAACTTGTTCAGGGAGCTAAATCGACTCGTACCTCACTCTTAGTCGTCCGGGTGGATACTGTAATGGCGACTATCGCGTGTGTCCGCTCGGGCCTGTTGCATAGTGGTGGGGAGTCTGGGGGAGACTAGCCCCGTACGGTGCTGACTCGAGTGCCGGAGACGCGAACTATCGATTCCCGGGGTAATTGTGCGCGAAGTATTTAAAGATTTAAATTTAAATTCTCCTATGATTGATTTTAATTATTTTAATTGAACAAAACTGTAATTACTTGAACTCAACGTGAAACTGAGATGGCGGAGCGGGTCTTCACTCCGTCTACGACCGGAATAAGGTAGCTTATCTACAGAGGGCACTCTCCGGAGAGGAATTAGGACTTTACCAACGAAAACTCAAACGCAAACTTAACTAAACTAAAAGCCCAATGGCGATCCGTTTCGACGACTGGGCAATCGTCTCCACGGCCTTCCAACTGAAAGTCCTAACACTCTCGCTCAAGGGAGCGCAAGCATTTCAACTCGACCTATGTACTCACTCTATCGACAAACCAAAAAGGGTTACAGGAAACACTGGGTAGCACATTATCTTGGCCAAATATTCCACGGTGATATCCTGATCCTTAACCGAATTTACGTAGGAAAATCTCAAAATTACTAAACTTTAACTCAACAAAAATGACTCGAAAAAAAGAAATATCTGCAAAATATCTGGTTTATTTAATGAAGTTATTTAATGAATATTATTCTCAAAATTTAGGGAATCGATTCACGCGATAGGTAACCAATTTAGGTAGTTTTCCGAACTTAAGGTAGCTCTGAAGTAGAGTTAAGGTAGCAGGTAGCTCTAATTCTCCGTATAGATTTTTATCACGACAAAAAGGTAACGGTTTATAAAATCTTACTCTCTCTCTCTCTCTCTCTCTCTCTCTCTCTCTCTCTCTCTCTCTCTCTCTTTCTATACATAAATACCCTGGAGTTCCGCAGGTGACGAATTCGCCTGGAATTTCGTCACAGCCCCCCGCCTTTTGACGTTTCCGTGTCGGCTTAGACCTTCGTTGTGGGTTGCTGCGTTGAGTCCAGGGTTGCGGTGTCGTCTGAGGGTTTCCACTCGTCACTCCCAGTCCTGGCTGGACTTCTAGGTTAAAGGTGTCCTTGGTAAGTCGTTCTTGAGCACTGAAATCAATCGAACCCACGCCCACCAGGAACCTTTTCCCGAAATAAAGGGCACTGATATTATTTGAGAGGTAGCAAGAAATTTTCTTTATTCCCACGATTTCGAGATATTTGGTGTACATGAAGCAATGGAAAACGACAAAGATAGCCATTCTGGACGGCATCAGCATGTGGGTTCATAGTACATTCGAAGTAGAATGGGAAAAGATAACAAAAGTGAAAGAGCCGTCTTGTCTCTACGTAATAAAAAAAGGAAAAAAAAAATAGGGCGATGTGTCAGGGGTTCTATTGGGTCCCAAAAAAAAACCAAGGAGTTGATAACAAACAAAAAAAAATGACTCACCAAAAAAAAATCAACATAGGGAAATTTAAAGCAAACGAAAAGAGAAATATCCAACAAAAAATTATGAGGCCCGTGTGAACACCTCGTTCGATTGGCGGGTCCGGCCCGCTTGTCAGTCTTATATTTATTCAGGTAGCGTGACAGTAACACTGAGGTAGCATTGGAAGAGGGTTATTATGTATTGGCCCCCTGCATAGGTAGCGTAAGGTAGCGGTTGGTCTTATGGAGCGGCCTTACTCCTGCCTGACGAGCATCCTACCAGTAGCCGGGTGGTGGTGGCTCTGGTCCCCTGAGTGAGTAGTCGGGGTCATACTCACGGTCTCGGGGAGGGTATCTGGGTCCTTCCTCCCGGCCTCGGCGTCCCTGATCCCTCGAGGGGAGGTCGCGATCCCTCGTTGACCTATAGTAGTCCTTGGGTGGCTCGCGGTAACCCCTCAGTTCTGGTTCGTAGCGAGGGTCGGGTAGTCCTCCTCGCCCTCGACGTGGTTCCTCTCGACGCCAATCCTCGCTCTCGTGGGGTCTTCCCCACGTTCTGTTTCCCCCCAGCGGTGGGTACTCCTCATGCTGGGGTCTATACTCATAGCCCCGCTCCTGTGAGAAGGCATGATACTGCACCGGGGGACGTTGGGAACGTCCTTCATATTCCTGAGAATCTCCGGACTGACGTGGAGATCCTTGAAGTTTCCTAGCCTCGTAGGAGGGTGTATGATATGCCCAACGCTCCTCTGGTCTAGGTGGTGGCGAGGGGGGTGGCCCACCTCGTAGGGTCTTCGGTGAGGCGGTAGGTTTCGATGTCTTGACAGCCTGGGGGTGCTTCTGACGCTTGGTGCGCTTCCTGGTTTGTGAAGTATCGGCAGCGGTATCGCTTGGTGGAGCTCGAGTCTGTAACTTCGCACGAGGTACGTTACGCCCCAGTGCTGGGACGTAGGGTCCGGCTGCCCTCCACTGATCTCCACAATGGGGGCACGTTTTCGTGGTGACCCCTTTGCGCCCACAACTGTAACACACTATGATGCGAGGTTTGGGGCATTGTTGGCGGCGATGATCCGGGGAGTTACAGTTGTAGCAGTGTGGCTGGAAATCCCAATCTGCACGAGTCGGTTTGTCATCTGGATGTATAGTGGCGGGTGTTGTTTCCAGGGTTGGACCCCCTGCGTTGCCCGGGTCCTGTTCCTCGGTGGCCCACCAGGGAAGTGGATATTCCCCCGGCTCCTCGGTGTCCTCGAGGTCTTCGTCGATGGTGATCACGGGTGGTGTGGTGGTGTGTCCGGATGTGGAGTCGTTGGCGTTGCTGGTGGATGAACCGGTTTTTGGTACTGCTCCCCTGGGAACTGGTGTTGCGATTAGTTCAACCACTGGCATCAGATCCGGAGGTACAGACGTCGGTTGGGTGAGATTCTGGGGGGGCTGCGTTAGTGGTGCCGCCGGTGCCGGAGTGGGTGGCGTTTGTAGATTTGGCCCGAGGACGGCGTTATCAGCCTGAGGTGCCGCTCATTGTACACCCGTGAGTCTCCGATTCGTCTCCTCTCGTTCGAGGGCCCCTGAAGTTTGAGTGGCCGGCGCTGTAGCTAAAGCCGGGGTTTCCTCTGCTCGTCCTCCGAACAGATTTGGGTAGCTACGTGATGGGCGTACTGCTCTGACGGGGCGAAACTGTGGTGCCCTAGCCGTGGTGACCGGCAGTACACCTGGCGTGACTGTCATGGCTGGATTCGGCAACGATTCCAGGGAGGCACCCAGCTTTTTGTCCTCCTCGGTGAGATCCACTTGCAAGATGTCGGTCTCCCCGTCCCCTGAAGCTGCTCGTGGTGGTGTCTCCCTGAGGGCGGCCAGGGTCAGACTGCTCAATCTTTCCAACGGGATCGAGACTTTGATCGGTGTCCTTACGACCTCCACCCTACAGGGTCTCGTGGAGATCACTTTGGGGCTTTTCCTCGATTTTGGGGTCTTCCCGTGATGCGTACTTGCGGGACCATGGGGAGCGTTGGTTGGCCTCGACCGGGTTATGGTTCCCCGCTCGCCCTGGTCATCCATCAGGGCACTCGCCTCACTTGACGTCCGACTGCGACCACTAAGAGGGGAGTAGCTGCTACTCAGCCCATCTGTCATGGACTCCCGGGCCAGTGATAGTTTGGTGGACGCTCGGAGTACCGCCATGACGAGGTCGTGTTTGAGACCAGGTCGGGTCTGGTCCAACGAATCCAGCTGAGTCTGAAATGGTGAGAGTTCGGCCATCACTAAGTCCAGTCCAGTCATTAGGGGGCGGGCGGTGTCCTCCGCCCGACCTGCTAAAGCCGGTATGTCTGTCTTTCCCGGATTTCCCGATGGTTGTGGGTCGCTGGATGACGACTCTTGAGCGGTAGTAGGAGGTCCAGAGGCTGCCGGTGACTGCGTTGAGTTTGGTGGCTTTTCTTTCATGGCGTGGGGTGGTGGTTGCTCAATCACCTCCCTCGGGAGACTGAAACTTTCCCGTACAACACCAAGCGGGTTGGTTAGTGGGTTCTCTGGTGTTCCCGCCTCCTAGAAGTTAGTAGAGGGGTTAGAGATGAGATGGGCCTCGGTGGTTTGTGCAAGCGTGAAGGAGTGCTGGTCTGATTGCAAAGGTAGCATAGGGAGAAGTAGCGTAAGTTAACGTCATTCAAGTAGCAACCGAAGCAGGTGTAGGGAGTGTAAATGATGAGTTTATAGAGAGCGTGAATTGCCTGTATAGAGGGAGCATTATTTGTCGGGCTTACGGGTATGAATTTTAGGTAGCGTCCTGCCGAAAAGGCATGTATGGTTTATTCGAAGGGAGTATAGGTATTCGGGCTTACAGGCAGAGTACGTTAGGTAGCGCCATGCCGAAAGCATAGAAACTTGATTTTTCTGAAGGGAGCATAGATATTCGGGCTTACAGGCAGAGTAAGTTAGGTAGCGCCATGCCGAAGAAGAAGTTTTCTATATTATTTTTCCTCTAGGGGAAGTCGATACCGTTTGAGATCTTGGATCGAAATTTCCCCTTTGAACTTTCCTAACATATCAGAGAGCTCATAACG